TCTTGCTCCTTCTCTTCAAGGGTCCGTCTCTTCTCCATCAGGTCTCCGTAGAATCGGGACTGATCTCTCTTCTGCTGCTTGAGGTCGATGCCGGCGATGAAGCCTCGACCGTACAGCTGAACCTGATGCTTTTCTTTATAACTAAACACAAACAAAGTCAAACCTGTGTTCTTGTACGGTCAAGTATGTACAATCCAACTGGCTAAACATTTGCAGACCTAAAAAGAGTGACCTAAGGCAGTCAAGATCAAATGCAATGCAGTAAAATATACAAAATAATCTGGACTTTTGTACGCAAATAGCAAAGCAGTGCAGTTATTTCTGGCATCTCATGAGATGCTCACATTGGATTGTAGTCGGTTGATGTGTCTTCAGACGCATCCCACTCAAAGACAAACTTCCTGTCATTCAGATGGCGTGTACGCCGCCGTTTCTTCATACCACCAAGATAACGCTCCTGAAGAGAAAATAAATAAGTATTGGTTCACCGTTCGTCAAAAAGACACATAACCACCTAATGCACTTCATTTCACAACAGACAAAAATGTATGGAAAGATGATTATTCTGATAGAGCCACGATTTGCTGAGCTTATTCCCAAAGGGATATTTAGTAACAGTTTACTTATGCTTAATGCTTTTTGTACCTGCCACATTCAGCTTATTGCCAAACAACGTGATTCAGCATCTGTTTACTTACACTGTAAAAATGTATTTAAATATAAATTACTGGACTACATTTTACAAGAAAACACTATTTCAGTCTTTCTACTTGAAAACATCACTTTTAATTCAAAGTGTTACTAGCTGTTTCTTTTTAATTATTTGTTAAATTTACTAGCAATTTCTAAGTAAAAATGGTTTCAAAATAAATCCTACAACAAACTTTAAGAGCAATTGTTAAAATTCTGTGCAATCTAGTATTTTCACATTTTACTCTATAATCAAGATTAAATAAAGACTTAGAACTTGTAAATATGCACTGAACAAAATTATAAACGCAACACTTTTGTTTTTGCACACATACATACACACACATACATGTATATGTATATGTATATGTATATATATATATATATATACACACACATATCCGATATGCCGATATTTTTCAACTCATTTTGGCCGATAGTCGATATATTTGCTTTTGTTTGGAAACAATACCAAGTCTCTTCTGTGCAGAAATAAGCAAATTATTTTTAATTTTGGTTAGTTTTTAACAAGAAATTATTTGTTAGAATTAAATAAACGATAACAAAGTTATTTTATAATGACCGTGTTTTCAAATCATTTTAGCCGATAACCGATGCTGATACCGCGATATATTTGCTTTTGTTTGGAAACAATACCAAGTCTCTTCTGTGCAGAAATAAGCAAATTATTTTTAATTTTGGTTAGTTTTTAACAAGAAATTATTTGTTAGAATTAAATAAACGATAACAAAGTTATTTTATGACAGTACAATGAAGATTTGAAAATAAATAAACTATATTCAATCGCTGTATTTTTTATTTAAGTTTTTCAGAAAGATGCAGTGGTAACCTTAACATTTTATTTTAAGATTTAACATTTGTAGATGGTCTAGAGCAAAAGAGTTGTAAAAATTGTGAAAATCTTTTAGAGCTCATAATTTATTTAAAAAATATAACATATTACACATTAATGAATAAATCAGTATATATAAAATTATTTATTCAAGTGTCGTGTTTTTTTTGTTTGTTCGTTTTTTCATGTAGTTATAGTTTCTGACCTTTAAATCAAAACATACTCATGATTTTAATATACACACATACAGTATATATTTTGAAAATATTTACATTTAATATAAATATAAATATATTTAATATATAAACGTACAATTTTTCTTAAATATATACATGCATGTGTGTGTATTTATATATACATAAATATACACAGTACAGACACATATTATATAAACAAAAACTGTTATTTTAGATGCGATTAATCACGATTAATCGCTTGATAGCACTAATAAATATATATATATATTTCTATAGCGATTCAATGCTTTCAAAATATATATACACATTAAATTACTACAAGCAGGAATTAATGGAGACCTTGTTCGTGCCTCGCATCTCTCCTTCACGCGCTGCACTATTTACCGCCTGTGACTGTCACAAGATTGCGCTCAGTTCGTCTCACGGACACATTTTTTGAGCAGCTGATGTGTGATCTCTCCTTAGTACTCGTGGCCAGTAATGCTTAAGTAAAGTAGTTTTACTTTTCTTTAGTTATTCAATGGCTCTCGGTCATACCGACGACATTACCTGAGCAGTCGAAAGCTGCGTATTTATTGCAAGGACGGAGCAAAAATGTAAGAGTCTAAAGCATACGCACAGTTCCATTGAATGAGAAATGTGTTTTAACAATGTTGTTAAACTGAATGTACGAAGGAAACTGTTAAACTAACCACAGCATTAACAACAACCTTGAAATAAGAGCGCGAGGAAACTGTTAAAATAAAACTGTTCCTTTCATAATCATCATTCGCCGATGGAGAGGAAAAGTTAAATACTATAGCATTTTATTTTATGAAAATTAGTTAAGAAGTTTTCGCACTGAAAGAGAAGTGATCTCGCGCTCATAGAATTAAGACGTGCCAGGCTATATCTGCAGCTAAGATGAATAAAAAGCAGAATGAACTGAAACATTAAGACAACAAACACAATAAATAAATAAAATGTATGAATGATGCAGTGCTAATTGACATTTATTACAGTACAGAAACTATAAAGCACATTTTCTACCTTATTCTGTGCAGAAAATTGAAATAATTGTTTAAGTATATAAAACAATCATAAAATTGCCATTAGGCTTCCATTTCATGCCGACTTTAATATATATATATATATATATTTTATATTGTAGTTTTTATTTACATTTTTAAAATATCTCATTATGTATACACAATGCCTGGCAATTAAGCATAAACAAAACTCTTGTCTCAACAATAAGATTTGTTTTCTCCTGTTCTCGCATAGCGCAGATTTGTATTTAATGCTACTATTTTTCACCAGCTCCACTTTAATAATAAAAAATAAAAATAAAAAATTCAGCAGAATTTGCAACAACAATGTTCAATACATCACAAAATATTATCAAAAAGTTTGTTGACAGGATCAATAAACATAAGTCACATATAGTCACATAAAGCACCGGCTCCAGGTCATCTTGTCATCCGTACTGTTTGGCCCTAAAAAGATTTTTTGAGGCAAGAATGATTCAAACCTTGATTTCTTGGACCGGTCTTTGTCTCGTCTGTCCCGGTCTCTTTCTCGGTCTTTGCGGCTCCTTTCTCTGTCTCTTTCTTTGTCTTTTAGACGACGATCTCTACATACAGGGAAGAAGAGTTTAAGCATTAGAGTACAAATACATTATAGCACTGATATGAGAAGAACGGTATACACACCGGTCAGGAGATTTGGATCTGCTGCGGGAGCGCTTGCGTTCACGGGATCGGTGCCGTTTGCGTTCTCTGCCCGGAGATCCCTTCCGGTCACGATCCCCGGAGCGAGAGCGACTGCGCTTCCGAGACTCCCGCTCCTTCCCTGCGGCGTCCAGAGAGCAGGTTTGATTGTTGACCAGGTTTGTTGATGTTTACGCCAAGGCTGCATAAGCGTAAGATTAATTAGCTTGCATCACACGCACTTACATTTTAAAAGTCTTTTTGTTTCCTAAAACTGTGCAACATTTATTTATCGATATTTAACAGATTATTATATAGCCTTATTGGACAGGAAAAGCATTTTGTTTGGTTTAGGAAAAATAATTAGTCACATTTTAGTCAAAATGCAATCATTAAAACACGGCTAAACAATGTAACTAGGACATTACATGTGCAATAATATTCCCCCGCGGGATATTATTGCACATCTAATGTTATATTAGTTACAGAGTTTGCGCTGGAGTTTTAATAATATCGTTTAACTCTCACACTGAACAGCAATGGCCTGCTCTCTCCAATAAACAAAATCTTTAGAAACCAGAAAATGACTATAACGAGTAAAATCAAGTTATTAGGAACATGCTCAACTGTACTGTGATTAAAACAGTAGAAATTAGATGCTTTTATTTAACGTTACCTTAAAAGATCAAAATCAAGTCGCTTACGAAGCCTGTGTTTCACTGAGCCGCCATTATGTTTGGCGTCAAATTATGACGTACTTCCGGCGGGGGATTATGGGAAATGTAGTCTAAAAGCCCATTATTATTGACGACGATAATAATAATTATAATTTTGTATAAATTTGTTTTTAAATAAACGAAATTTTGTAACGTTTAAAATTATGAATTGAAAGTAGTTTGCGTTAACAGTGCTTGACTGATAGGCTTAATCAAAAATAATTGTTGAAATCTATGAAATTTCTATAACAACAACAATAATAATAATAACAATACGAATTATAATAATAATAATTATTATTATTATTATATTTGTTTTAAAATAAACTACATTTTGTAACATTTAAAATGATAAATTGAAAGTAGATTATGTTAACAGTGCTTGACTGATTATTTTGGATGAGTGAAAGGTTTATGGGAGATGTAGGCTTAATCAAAAATAATTTTAGAATTAAATTTCTATAACAACAACAACAACAACAACAACAACAACAACAACAATAATAATAATATAGATAATGCTTCCTGAAATACTATGAGTTTTTACTTTATCCCAGAACATTGTCAGCAAGATGTGATTTTATTTTTTATTTCATTTTGTGTTTTTATTTATTTAAATAAATAAATAAATAAACTAGGCAAAATTTTGTAACATAGTAGTTTACGTTCATTTGTAGTTAACAGTGCTTGATACTTTGTATGAGTGAAAGGTTTATTTTGAAAATAGCCTGAAATGTCGATTGTTTTTATTATTATTTATTTACATGATTTTTTAATTACAAAAATACATAATTATGTGACAAATATTTGAATTATAACTATATAAAATATACATATATATGTACAGGCGATAGGTATGTTCATGTGAAAGTTAGAGACAATCAACACGAAAGGCGTCTATTGTATAAACGCTATTCAGGGCTTGGCCACAGCGCAGATCATTTTAACAACTTCTTATTCTGGAAATCTGCGCGCTTTAGTAAACGGTGCTCTGTTACTGGCAATAATAGGCTATATGGCCAGCGGAGGGGGGGCTGAAGCGCACTCGGACAGTCCACTATGGAAGGAGAGCAGGATGAGGGGAGATCGTGGACATGAGCGCGAGAGCAGCACGCGGATCGGGATGCGGAGTGAGGACGAGAGACTCCAGACTTTCCAAAACTGGCCCACAGACGCGCCCGTGAGTCCCGCGGAGCTGGCCCGGGCTGGCTTTCACTATCTGGGCTACAGTGCCACGGTGCAGTGCTTCTGCTGCGATGGGACCCTGAGGCACTGGGTTCACGGAGACACTCCGCGGGGGGAGCATGAGAGGCACTTCCCCGCATGCGGCTTGATGATGGGCAGGGATGTGGGCAATGTTCCGCTGGGCTCGTCTGACTCTGTGGACGGGCAGCTCTTGAGTCAGCTGCAGCGGCTGACCGTGGATGAGCAGGTGTTGCCTGGACAGGCGGTGTGCCCAGAGATGGAGTCGGAGGACAGCAGACTGCCCACTTACCAGAACTGCAGCCCCCGGGAGCATCGGTGCAGCCAGACGCGCTGGCGCAGGCGGGCTTCTTCTACACAGGTGCGTCCCACACTACAGCAAGGATAAAAGTTGTTTTGAGATTGCACACGAAATTATGATTTTATGGGATTTTGTGTGGTTCCCACTGGGCGCGGAAGAGAAACTTTCTTGCTTGTGTTTTGTGCAACCACAATCACGTGCCGGCAGTCACGCGCAGTGTGAATGAACGGAATGAACGAGAGAGCGCGCGAGCAGCGCCTGCCGCTTATTATTATGATGATGATATGCATTCACAAATTGCATATCAATTGCTCTCATTAAAGAACAATACACATATGTTAACTTATAAAGTGTCAAAATAAAACATAAAACAATCACGTTCATTTAGGCCTATAGAAAACATTCTTTGAAAATGTAAATGAATTTAAAACGGACCTATTTAAATCAGGCTGTTTACTGTTGTGTTGGAACTTTTGAAAGTTGATTAGAAATGACTTAGAACCAGGGGCGATTGTAGAATTGTTATTTTAGGGAGGCTCAGCCCCCAATGAGGGTATAATAATAATAAATACATGTTTGACTAATAGGGTAGGATGGTATAGCCTAACATATTGCAGTATTGCATAGATGGGTTAACATTCTAGTACTGAATAAGCCAAAGTCTTCCTGATCTCTCTCTCTCACACACACACACACACACACACACACACACACACACACACGCCTGTTTACTGTACAAACCTAAAATTCTAGTACAAACCTCTTTCTTTACCTGAAGTAACCTCTTTGCCACATGCACTGTAATATGTTTTATATTTAAAGTTACATTTTCAAATGAAAATAGCAACATGATCGCTTTACAAAGTATGCTATAAAGCCCCTCTAAAATTGGCCTAGCGACGCCCATGCTTAGAACTTAGCAACTTGCAATTCTAGAGGGAAAAAAAGCCTTTTTGCAGGTTTAGATATATATTCTGCACTGTATCTGTTAAATGTAATGTGTTTTTTAGAAGATGGTAATGATTGTACGATTCTTAGGTCATGACGACAATGTGAAGTGTTTCTTCTGTGATGGTGGTCTGAGGAACTGGGAACCGGGAGATGACCCCTGGCAGGAACACGCCAAATGGTTTCCTCAGTGAGTTTCTGTTTCTGCTTTTTTTAGACTGAAATGTCAGGCAGTAGGGGGATATGAAGTCGCAAAAATACACAAAACAACGTACAGATGCTTAAAAAAGAATTTCAGCACAAAGGAAGGTTTCATTCCACAATAATACAAAGTAATTAGTGAATACTAACGAGACATTTTGTACATTAAAATCGAAATAGTTTCATACCAAATTGATGTTGTTTTGGTGTTTTTAGTGCATGTGTACTCATTAATAATATTGTCTATGTGCTTCCAAAGATGTGAATATTTGCTTCAATCCAGAGGACGGGAATATGTGAGCAATGTCCAACAGTCTTACTTCAGCATGAATGAGAGCATGGTAAGTAATAATGATGCACCTAATCGTCAGTTCACGGTTCATTTAACAGCTATATTTGCAAGATTGCTATAGATTTCAAATGTTTTTCTTTGTTTTAAAGGGTGGATCTCCATCATCAACTGCAGGAAACATTACATCAGGCAAGTCAATCCAAAATAACTTTTTTAAAGGTGTAACAGTTCAGGGGTTTTTAAATGTTTAAATGAAACTATGGACTCCAAAAGTGATGATCCCCTGCAAGGGGCTCCTCACCAAAATATAAAGAAAGACAGTTTTATTTTATATTTTGATGTATAGAGCAAATTATACTGTGTAAAAAAGCATAAAATAGATCATATAAATACATTTTCAATTAATTTCAAATGTATTTGTGCAGCTTATTGCTTAAAAGTAGAGCCATGTAACTGGTAATAAAGAAAATTGGTAATTTTCACCAAACTATATCCAGATATGTTTCTTACTTCTGTTAGAATACATTTAGTAATATTATTTGATGTCAAATTTTCCAAGGACCCATTAGCACCCCCCTGTGGCCCCTGGGGGCGTCTACAGGCCCCTATTTGAAAACCCCTGACTTTACATATTTCCTGCAATTCTTATGTCCTGTTAAATGTTCCATGTTTGTAGGTAGTGCTTGTGTTATATAGATAAACAGACTCGTATGTGTGCTTATTACACGGCTCTCTAGAATACTTGATTCTGATTGGTCACTCACAGCATTCAGCACTCAAATATTTCTGAATATAATAACCATTGTCCATGACATGGAAATCAGTGATTCCTACATAGCTGTATGTGTATTCTGTCTCTGAAACAATCATATAAACTCAAATCAGTATTTACTGTATTTATCTCTGGGGCAAGAAGCTGTGTAATAAGCAGGAAATATCAGGTTGCATTTTGTGCTGCCATGCATGTTATGTTCCTCAGGAGGTGTTATTATTATTATTATTCCAGCTCTCACAACTTATTTTTCACCCAGGCAAAGGACCTTCTCTTCTTCTCTTTCCTAACGAACTAACAATGATGATGATCAGTGTTACTCTAACTTGAAGTCTTTTGTGATGCAGTTTTGCCGTTTTAAATTAATGTGTGCTGCTGGTAAACAAACACACCTGAACTGATTCTTTGCATAAATCACTGAATAAATTAGCCGCAGCAATATCTTGCTTTGCGTAACCCATCATACACACAAGCTCTTTTTATACTTCTACTTGTGAGGACCTAGAAAAGACTTTGTAGTTTCTAAATTAAGCAAATTACTACGCACTTAAAGGAAAAGTTCGCCCAAAAATGAACATTTGCTGAAAATGTACTCACTCTTAGGCCATCCAAGCTATAGATGAGTTTGTTTCTTCATGGGAACAGATATTGAGAAATGTAGCGTTACATCACTTGTTCACCAACGGATCCTCTGCAGTGAATGGGTGCCGTCAGAATGAGAGTCCAAACAGCTGATAAAAACATCACATTGTTCCACAAGTAGTCCACATGACTCCAGTCCATCAATTAATGTCTACCGAAACTTCAGACAGTTCCAGCAAAAATATAAGTCCTCTGTCTATAATATGGTTTTCTGCAGTGAAAAAGCTGTTTATAGATTCTCATTCTGACGGCACCCATTTACTGCATAGGATCTATTGGTGAGCAAGTGATGTAATGCTACATTTCTCCAAATCTGTTCCGTTCCCAACTCATATACTTCTTGGATAGCCTGAGGGTGAGTACATTTTAAGCAAATATAGATTTTTGTGTGAACTATTCCTTTAAAGCATTTTAATTAAAACCCATTAGGCCCATTTATGAACATTTTTACTAGTGATAACTTTCTCACTAAGAATGTTTTTGTAAATGTGGCCCTCACAAGTGAAGTGCACAGTCCCTCTTATGCATGCACTCATGTTCCTGTGTGCTGTCCCGCTGGCAGAGGTGCTGGGTGGGCAGAACTCAGTGGCGGCAGCCATGTTGTCCCCTGTGGTGCAGGCGGTGTTGCAGATGGGTTTCCAGCACTCGCTAGTGGAGAGTCTGGTGCAGTCACACTACCTGCTCACCGGCTCACACTACACCTCAGTCTCTGACCTGGTGAGTGACGTCCTGCAGGCCGAGGAGGAGGAAAGGGAGACGGGGGAGCCCAGACCAGGTGTTTCCAAACCCTCTATCAGTATACAACAAACCTCAATTACGTAACCTAAAGTTTACATCATTTAAAGCATGCTATTGACCATTGAATTTAACGCGGAGGAAAACAAGGGATAGACTTACAGTCTTTACACTGTCATGTTCTGTATAAAGTTTTCACAACTCACAACTTACTGTAGTTTTACTGTACAGAAAGTTTTTTTTTCCAGAAAGATGTTTCATCAGCTGAACAATCTGTATGTTGTTAAAAACAACAGTACAATCCATTGAACGCACTGTACTTCTATCCCTCACAGCTTCATTTTCATTCTGTCAAAAATGAAATATATGGTGCTACCCTGGCTAGATAAAGGAGATAGGCTATTTGAAGGGATATTTCACCCTAAAATTAAAATTCAGTTATTATTTACTCACTCGGGGTGTTGTTGATGTCTCATGCCCTTCTTTTTTTTTAACCACAAAAGGAGAAATAAAAAATCCTGACCTTGGCAGTTTTTCATTTTATAGAGCTTTATTCCATGGAACACAACATTCTATTTTTTTGTGTTCCACAGAATAAAAACAGCCCAAGATTTGCATCAACATTTTTTGCATTCCACTGCACTAATTTTTTTTTTGCTATTCCATATAAACAAGGACTAGATGAATGTATTTGACAATTTTGTTGCTATGCACCTCACTGCTTTTTCTTGCATGAACGACATGTTTTTAATTTGCCATCAACGACATCAAATAAACACAAATACATTTGACAACCTGCATACTTTTCCCATCCTCTTGGGTCTCGCGCTTGTAGATGTGTTTTGTGTGAGCACCCCCTAAGATCTGAAATCACTTATGGATTAGTAAATAATGACATACTTTAAATTTGTGAACTTGTCTTTTAATTTTCTGATAATGTGTGCCATTCATTCCTCTAACATGTGGATGGTTTGTTCCCTCAGAGACTGTGGGGAGGCAGAGAACACCAAGAACGCAGGTCTCAGACAGGGAGAAAGGTTCATATTAACACGCTCTCGTTGCACTTATAATGTGTGTGTGTGTGTGTGTTTGGGTATATCTTAATCTTCTCTCCATCTAGTAGCCTCTGGGATGAAACAGATCATACTATCAATCATCTCAACTGACCCAGACTGATCTGAAATGTCCTAACTTGTGCATTTGTGTGTGTTTTTCAGTGCGATCAGACCCGAGTCCAGAGGAACAGCTGCGACAGCTTCAGGAAGAGAGGACCTGTAAGGTCTGCATGGACAAACTCGTCTCCATGGTCTTCATCCCCTGTGGCCACCTGGTCGTCTGCACCGACTGCGCAGCCAGTCTGCGCCACTGCCCCATATGCAGGGCAGTCATCCGGGGGAGTGTGCGAGCATTCATGTCATGAAGCGCAAACACACGTTCATACAATACACAGCGACATACTGTTGCACAACAGTGTCATTAGCAAGAATTGTACTGCACTCGGGATATATAGTGAAAAAATACTCAACAAATGTTATAAATAGCTTCCAAATCAGCATCAGTGCTTGATATTTGGCTATACATTAAAGCTACAGGGGTCCAAAAGTCCACTTCACATCTAAAGTCTAATTTAATACATTTGAAACATTTATATATATATATATATATATATATGTGTAATAGTAATATAAGTTTAAATAGCATTATTTATATATCAGTTTTATTGAGATGCTTTGTTGCTTGAAATATTAACATTATTTTCAGAATGTCATATATAGTAATTTGGGTTTTCCCCATAATTTAATGACAGCAGCACTTTAGCTGCAAGAACATCTGATCATCTGTACAAAAAGCATATCTGTACATAAAGCAGGATATTAATGATGTAAAAAAAAATAATCATGAAAAATTGTTAATTTCCAGGTTTAAATGCGATTTTAAATCCCAGATTTCTTATGTGGACTTTTGGACCCTACAGTATTTTAAAATGTTTTGCATGCTTGTAAGTTCTGGACAAAACCAAAGTTGATTTTGTGTCATGCCAAAGTGAACAGCTTTTTGTACATTTTAAATCTTAAAAAAATATATATAAAATTCATTTTCAGATGGCGGTTTATAAGAGACCATATTGTAGAATAATATTTTATTATTACTGTATTAACATTGCACTTCTATTTTCATTAATAAAATAATTTGCATTGCACATCTTTGTCAAAGCTCTGCTTCTGTTACATATTAACCCTCATATTGAGTTCCAGTCGTTTTGACCTGTAGAGAATTTTCTTTTTTGAAAATGATGTTTTCGCATTGGACTAAAACCAAAAAAGAAATAATTTCACCCAAAACCTGAGGTGCTTATGTACAGATCAATGAGGCCAATGACCAATCAGTTTCAAAAAGAAATACAAAACCTGTGGTAATTGAAAGAAAACAAGTTGCAGCTTTATTATTAGATGTATTAGAATGATGAATAATTTAGTGAAATTATAAAGATTTCTTTCTATTAATGTAATTTCCTATGCAAATATTATTTAATTTGTATGTTTGTGTGTGAGTGTGTGCGTGCGTGCGTGTGCTGGTGTGTTTTAATTAATTAAATTAAGCAAATGAGCTCTCGGGAAGCGAACATTCCAACCGGAGCTACTTCTCTAAGTTTATGTCTATGGCGATTCACGCAGGTATGTGTTACTCCGCAGCGGTGGCGACCCGACCAGGCTACAATAGTCCAAATATAAGTACTTATTATAAGTGTACCGTAGTGATTCGGAATAAGACCAAAACGCGGTTTGGAAGATGAATTCATGTTGTACTCGCTCATTATATACATTTAGCAAATTTTGAACACAGAAAAAGTTACATAGTGCTGCTTTAACCCTCATACCGAGTTCCAGTTGTTTTTACCCGTAGAGGATTTTCTTTTTTGAAAATGATAATGTTTTCGCATTGGACTAACACCTTACAAAACCTGTGGTAATTGAAAGAAAACAATTTTACAAAAAAACACTGACTCCAAGATTTAGTGATAATATAAGCATAATGAGAAATCTTTAAAAGGCCGGCCAATATTTGACTGGGAACACCAAAATAGGCACAGGACAGTGATTTTGACCTCTTCTATTTGCAGAGGGGGCTTGTAGGATGTGTGTCTGTTTACTCATGTGTGTGGGCCAAAGAAAGAGACAGAAGCACCAATCCAAACACAAACAAGACATGTAGTCAGCAGATGAAAAGCATACTTTTATTAACAAACATCTATTTACACTCTGGTCAGCAAACATGTGTTGATGAACAGGCAGTCAATGAAGAACTATGGAGAAGAGACCAAACACAGAAAAGAGATACAAAAAGTGCTTACAAAAAAACACCTGTAAAAAGAGACAGAGACATACAGACGAGGGGAGAGGTGTGATATAAATCTATATCATTCTTTTTCTCCTTATAACACTTCTGCAGCAGACTACCATTGCCGGAGTATGTTGAATATCCTAAACTCTACCAGTGTTTTCAGAGAGTGGTACAAAATGCAATTTTCCTGGTCCATAGAGTAAAGTTGTCTTGTACAGAAAGACATTGATCACTAGGGGGCAGGATAGATTCATGACCAATATGAGGATCTACCAGAACAGTGAACAAGATAACTGTAAGCTAATGTTATTAAGCTGAAAATGTTAGATTTTGCCATTTAGCTAATTGCTAATTGTTACGACTTCCCTAACTTCAACATTTAAAGGAGTAGTTCATCTAAAAATGCGCATTTTCATCATTTACTCGCCCTTATGTTGATTTGTTGATTTACAAAACTGTTGATTTGCTTACTTCTGAGGAACACAAAAGAAGATGTTCTGTAGAATGTTCAAGCTGCTCTTTTCCAAACAACAAAAGCACAAAGCTATTGCATGACTTCAGATGACTTTGAACATACAGTAGTCACATGCACTCTTAAAAATACAGGTGTCAAAAGTGGGTTGCCATTGATAGAAGAACCATGTTTGGTTCCCCAAATAACCTTGCAGTGAACAGTTCTTTAAATAACTATTTTTATATTTCTTAGTAAAGAACAATATGAAGAACCTTTTGTGTGTAATAGAACGGTTCCATGGATGTTAAAGTCTCTTAATGGAACCACAGATGCAATAAAGAACCTTTATTTTTAAGAGCGACCACTTTTATGGTGCTTTGTTTGATTGGGAAAAGAGCAACATGAGCATTTTTCAAAAGTTCTCCTTTTTGCATTTCAAGGGAAAAATAAAGCCTTATAAGCAATAGCAAGGACGAACTATTCCTTTAAGACTACAATATGTCCAGTTCCTTTACCATCAGGCCACAAGCACCCAAAATGCTGCCAATACAGTACACAAGTCTCATGATATGAAACATCTGGGATAACAGGCAACTATGTGACTATGAAAGTTAGAAAATACATACTGACCTTTGGCCTTCACATCTCAATTTGGAAAGAAATACACAGTCCCGCTCTTCAAAACATGTCAAACACACTATGATACATGTCAAGTCAGTCATTTGTGCTTTGAGGTTTATGTTTCCAGTAAACAGCTACAGTAGCTCTGCATCTACAGTGAAAGACATTGACAGCCACTCAACCGCTACTCATATTCATAGAACGACATGCTGACGATTTATTCACAAACTAATATTTGATTACAAGCACCATTCAGATGAAAGAACCGTTTTCTGTTTCATAACATCAGCCAGTCCTGTTATAATATCAATTGAGGTTATGTAATAATTGTACTGCCAGTACTGACTGACTACCAGAGGAAGCCCAAACTAGTTTCTGTTCGATCTAAAGGCTGATACAAACACATTGTGCAATAAATGATGATTATTAACATTAAAAATACTGACAGCATGCACAGTAACCCCAAAACACTGAAAATGCACTAATTTCATTGCATTAGATGCAAATCAGTTAATAAGCATCTGAAAACAAATCAGCCAGATGTATATTTGATCTAATTTAATGACTATTATACATTATTTAGTGTGATTTGAGTGTCTAAATACAGTGATTTGGGGTTCACTGCATATAAATCAAGTCTTAAAACTAAAAAAAAAAGACTAAAACTAAATTTTACAGTGAATTATGAGAATTGTACATCAAACTATGACACAAAACAACTCAGAAAAGCTCTAATTGTTTCTTGTATTTATATTTTACACTTCCTTTGTTTCTATTTTTGACTGCCACAGGAGACACACACACGCACACACGCACACACGCACACACACACAGACACCTGCTGGGTGATTTATTAAACTCCCTGTGATGGTGAAACGTTGTGTATCTAGAGACAGGACAAGTACTTCGCTCATTTGCAACTAGTCTGATTAAACTGTCATGAAAAATGTCCCTGGGGCAAATATAATGTGTTTAGCACCTCCATGTGCACATATTGAAAAGGCTTCTTCTGCACACATTCATTACAGAGCCTGCATAATTTAAGGCTTATTGAAATGAGGCCAGGACCGGTCTCAGAGGAACCACTCCACTGATCCATATTCCCCACATCAAAACCAAGATAAACCTCATACTGTAAGATCGAGGGTATATAGCAGCAGGTAGTAAGAGATCAAGACCCTTTCAGTCATAAATGCATTTACAGAGGGATTTATAGTTCCCCTCTACAAGAGATGAACAGGCCTGTCACTCTGTCAGAACTTACTTCTCTGGAGTAAAACACAAGTAGGTCTATAATACCTCGAGCATTCACATTAATATCAATGGCAGTTGCTCAAATGGCCTCCTGGAAGCATGTGACCTGCGTGTTGCTGTCTCTGCTTGAGACGGTTCTGAGGTCATTTCTTTCAGCCAATCACCTGAGCCATAACTGTCATGTGACTAATCACTCTGGAGCCACAGGAAAATGACATCCTGACAACATTGACTGGTTGATAAATCCACAGGAACACACACACACACAATCCCAAAGACTTCAGTAGTGACTGAGCTGTGACGCTGAAGTCAGCAAAAAAAAAAAAAAAAAATTGTTTCCTTCTTTCCCCAGATTGGTGGAGCTGTATGTATAATACTTAAGAGAAAGATAAAACTATCTTAAAATAACACAATATTTTATTTATTAATTAATATATTTATGTATTTACATTTTTATTGACATTTATTTAAGGCTTTTTTGTTTGTTTGTTTTCATTTTCCATTTATGGCTGATTGTTTGTTGACATCGCTGTCCATGTATAGAAGTAAAAAAAAACAAAAAAAAAGATTAAAAAATAAAAGTTACTAAATAATTATGATTAATCTCATGATTTCCATTTTCTTTAGAAAGCACAATGAAACCGTAATTATGCAAAATAATTTTGTTTTATATTATTAATTTTTCTTCTCTAGACGTTTACACAGACATCCTAGCATCCTTGTGTTTATTTTTCCCTACACATTTCCCAAACAATTTTTTCCCCCCTTTTTGTCAAAGTTAATATTTCAATAATTTAACATTGCATATTCACAGATCTCTGATATCGGCTGATGATCAAATGACATGCAAGTAAACAATGTTTTATTTTGATTGCTTCTATCTTAAATGTATTTTATATGTATTTTTACGCATTTACATATATGGCTATACAACTTGGCCAAAAATGTTATTGTGATTATTCTGTCATATACTGCGATTGCCAGTTAACCTGCTATTTAATTTAATAAAAAATTACTTTCCAAGTGTTCAGGGTTCAGTCTTTATGAGAGCCAACTAACACTTCAAGTTACAAAAGTAAAATGAAATATCTAATTAAATTTTTTTTTTCACTTTCAAACGTTAAAAGCCTTGAGATTTTAACGTCAAATTCTCAAGCTTTTATTTTGATACAACACTGATGAAATGCTGTCATTTACTATTGCAATATTAATTTGAATGTAAATACAGCGCACACTGCATTCCCAGATTCACACATTAATGCAGTGCTTAATTAATGCAATTATTAGCTTTTTTCAACTCATAAAGCCCTGTTTGGGAAACCCTGACTTATATGATTCACAATGATTCATGGGATGAGTAATATTCATTCCTGTTTATAATGTTGTAATGTTATGATCCATCTTAGAGCTAGTTGGTTTGGTTTAAGGCTTTAAAAAATCTTTTTAATATAATACGTGTCTTTGATCTTCTTTAATAATGTTCAGCGCAATAAGAGAACATGCAGTCTCAAATGACAACAGCTTCCCCAGACTACTAATGTGTTATTGAAACTAAATAAGTTATTCTGAACAAAACTTTTCTAGTACGATGAATACATGGCCGGACACATTTACACGTCAATAACCCGTTCAGTTTTCAGCAGTCTGGCTCATCCAGCCGCAGAAAGCAGGGCAGACTATTATTCTCAAGAAGATGCTAATAGTCTAGTTGGCACATAACTAATGATAAAAGCGAGGAAAGTTGGCCAAACTTTGCACTGCTTCCGGCTGCCAGCCTTTAAAACGAGATCTGACCTTAAAAAGCTTCTGCAGTACATGAACAATAAAAGTGCTGGCATAGATCTCGTTAAAACTGAAACTGAACTGGAAGCATATCAACACACTGGCACTTTTTCCATGTTAAACTAGAGAGCTTTAACAAATAGTCCACATTTAACAATAACAATGCAAAAATGTCCTAGCTGATATAAAAGCTCTTTTACTGTTCGATCGAGCTTCCCACAGTTTGAATAATCCCTCACTGGACGAGATCAGAATGCTTAATGAATGGACTAATTAAGAACTTACACTAATTAAAAGAAAACTAACTTTAATTAATGCTTCAGATAAGGGGCAAGCAGGGACAAGTGTAAGAGGATCTATTTTACTTAACTCGCACACACAGTGTGTTTGATTAGATTCACATTCACACACACATTTTATTTTTAAATAGGGACATACAATAGACGCCTAAATTGTTTTTATTACAGCTGTAAATTAAACCTACTAATTAAAAACTCTCAATAATTACTATAATTATTTTAATTGATAATACTTTTATATTAGGGGGCTGTTGAATGCTTGAATCTGATTGGCTGATGAACGTTCTGAGGTGTGCAATTAGCTTCAAGGAAATGCACGGCTAAAGTAGTTCCAGGAGGGTCTTGATTTCACTTCACTTTGCCAAAATGATTTCAGTTATTTCAAAGGTCCTTTACAGCCTAAAACAGCCAAATAGCCAAAACCCACAACAACACTGACCTAGCAAATAAAGCAACAAATAAAGCAAACAACAGGATAAAAACAACTAATTATTTCCATGTTTTCGCCACAAAATTAATAATTCAACAGCCCATTGTCAATTATTCCTTACATATTTAACATTATTTATGAAACAATTTTCTTTAAATCTTTAAATGTCCTCAATATAGGAGGTTTTGCCAGATTTTGTGCACATGTGGTACACACACACACACACACACACACACACACACACACACACAGACACAGGTACTTACTGATGCACAGGCTTTAACAGAAGATGAGATGGTTTCTCATTGACATGGTAGAGTGGGAATGGCTCAAATCCACCAATAAAATCAACTGAAACCAAACAAAAGATGAAATTAAAGAAGGAAAGAAATGAAACAGGACAATGAGCCATGAAGAGAACAAATGAAACATGAAATGATAATCGCTATGTAAAAACCACTAACAGACATAATGCATGACAGAAATATGAATATTGTGAACATTAACGCTGGAATATCTACTGAGACACTTCACATTACACAAATCAGACAATTATTAACAATGAACTGTGTGTACATATGAAATGTGATATGATAACTCTTACACACACACATTTGTCTAAGTTTGACTAAAATTCAAGTACATGAAGTTTTTTTCTCTGTATCTGTACAAAACTCTATTCGATTTTACTCCCTCCCTCTCTCTCTCTCTCTCACACACACACACATACACACACACACACACACAAACACAAACACACAAACACACACATGCCCACACACACACGCACACAAACAAACACAAACACACACAAACACGCACACACGCGCACACACACACACACACACACACACACACACACACACACACACACACACAAACAAACAAACAAACAAACAAACACACACAGAGAGACAGAGGAATGAATAACAGGTTTCTGAATGAGTGATTTTCATTATCAGATGTCTGGCCTCATTCAGCCCGGTGTGCTGAGACTACAGACAAACACACTCTCATTCCTAACTTATATACAGCAAAAAAAGAGGGAGAGATCGCCCCCGTGTCCCAATTCCAATAGCACCTATTTTAAATATAAGTGAGATTAGAATGAGCCCCAAAGCACAGCATGTTGAAAATAGTGTGCAAATGTGCCCAAATCGTGTAGGATTTCTGCTGGGAGTTTTGAAATATGCATCAAGCCATTGCACTATGAAGTTTGTGAGTTAAAGGGATTGTTTACTCATAAATTACAATTGTCATCTTGTATTCAACTTTATTCATTCTGATCTCACAATACTAATTTTCTATTGTGAACACAAATGGCCATTCTTGTCCATACAAAGAAATTTATGAAGAAATTATTTTATGAAGAAATAATGAAGGAATTAGCTAGACTCTAATAAGATGGCTCAGTTATCAAAGTCACTTTGTTAAGCACGCATTTTAGTGCATATTTGAATAGGAGAATTGGGATATGCTGTAAGTGAACATGTGTTTTAGCTGTGAAAGCACAAACAAACCTTTCAGTCAATCCATAAAACCGCAACAGATGGCAATCTCAAGAGCAATTTCACCTTCATGTTTACGCACATTAAACATACAGCAGGTTGGAAAATAGCAGGGCTGGTTTGTTTATCACAAACGACAGGCTTTGAGCTCATAATGTGTCATTAGTGTTTGCAGGATCTGTGGAGCTCCAGAGAGCATGAGCGGCGCTGCTATGTGAGGAATGCTGGGAAGGCAGAAGTTATTCCTACTAATGTGAGTAAATGGAAAACTTCACACGTACGTCATACTTTAAGACTTGTTTAAAGGGTTGGTTCACCCATAAATGAAATTCTGTCAGTGTTTTCATGTCTTTCCAATCTCACAAGACTTTGGTTAATCTTCGAAACCCAAATTAAGATATGAACAAAATTAAGAAACTAAATGTTCCTGTGGCTCAGTGGAAGAGCATTGCGTTAGCAGTGCAAAAGATCGTGGGTTCGATTCCCAGGGAACACTGGTAAAAAATGTATAGACTGAATGCACTGTAAGTCGCTTTGGATAAAAGTGTCTGCTATATGCATAAATTATTATTATATTATAAGAAACACTTAAAGTATTAAAAAAATATTGTTATAAAACGGATAATTCCGATCCTTGATTCTGAGCCACGTTCGAAGCCGTTGTAAATTACTCTACAAACGTACACCTTTGTTTACGTCTGTGTGTTGCTCGGCAACCACTTTGTTGCAACCACAACTGATTCTGAGGAACTACATTGTTTGGTGGAAGAATACTGTTTTTATTAATATCATTACACTTTATTTGCTCTGTTTCAGGGGCGTAGCCATCATTTCAGAAGTGAGGGAGACAGAAATGTTATATATATATATATATATATATATAAAAAAATATATATATAACATATATACAACAAATATATAACATTTCTGTAATCTATATACATGCACAGGCTATCCTGTCTCTTTGAATTTAAATTTATATTTATTGACACTGGCTCTTGAAAACCTCCATGTGAACACATTTGCCCGAAAAAGTGGGGGGGACGAATTTACGTGATATTAAAAGTGGGGGGGACACGTCCCCCGCGTAATCTACACACCTGCTCTGTTTTATTTAGTGGACCCTTACTACATATATGGAATAACCGTTTTATATATCAGAATGATTTCTGAAGGATCGTGTGACTGGAGTAATTATGCAAAAAATTTAGCTTTGAAATCACTATAAATCTAAGCCCCGTGAAGCCGTGGTTTACAGTGAATTTATAACAGCTAAGGGGGTTTTAGGCACTCCGCTTCGCGTCTGTAAACTGTAAACCACAGCTTCTTGGGGCTTATTGCTTTATTAATATAACCTGACAGCAGTGGTGTAGTCTACGTGATATGCAGGTATACGCCGTATACCCACTAGGAAAGGCGAAGGATTTCCGTATACCCACTTAAAAATGCGCGAGGATAAGTAACGGCTTGAATGTTTTAATTGGCAAGGCTTAAAAAACGTGCAAATTATTAAGCTTCGTGAGGACGCACCAGCATCTTTCACACTGGCCTCTGGACATCAGATAGTCACTACCTGACCTGGTCATGATCAAATATGTTAGCTTTGCTTGGCGGCATAAAGGAAAAGTATGCAATTCTTTGTAAATTTAACTGTCTGAAAACGAAAGTAAATGAGGGGATTTGAAAGATTTCTTATCCTGTGGCTCCCTCTCGTGGACTGCAGTTGTCCTCTAGAGAAGGCATTTTTGCTCAGCCAATGCAAGTCTATGGGAAATCTTTGATTTTTGATAATTATTTATAAAAAAAACTTTGTCTCATCAGTTAGAAAAGATATAGAAACAAACTACAGATCAGGTCCAATGTCTCTGACGAGTTTGGTGCCTGTAGCATTAAAGCCCTACTTTAATTTCTCAAGCCAACTTATCTAGCTAATAACTTAAGTAACGTTAGTGTAGTGGATCAGTGAATGCGAGAGAAGGGGAGAGATAACACACATACTGTGTTAAACCGAATACAATGTTTATGTCTCCTTGTTTCAGATGATGAGAGAGATTAGAACTCCTGATCAACCTTGTGGACTGAAAGTCAGGCTAGGGAATTTAAAAACAGGCACTCTTAAATGTGCATTGAAAATTACCAGCTGATAAAACCTATTCTCCAGGGACCATATTCTTAAGATAAATGTAACTAGCTGAGTTAAATGATTAACACTAAGCAATAAGAAATCAGCTGTAAATGTCTCCCCAGATGTAAATGTCATTGGCTCTTAAAGTCAATTTATTATAAGCAACAGAAGACATGTTGATATCACATAAGCAGTCTTTCAGAATGCTCTCAGTTACATAGATGCATATTGTAAAGTGAGTGTGGTGGTGCTTATGGGGTGTCGCTGTGTGACGGTGAGTATGAGGCTGGGAGGGAATATCAGAGTATACCCACTACAAAAAAACTAGACTACACCACTGCCTGAGAGGTTTCTTTCCCTCCATTAAAAATCCAAATAACCAAAACGTAGAAGAGCCAAAAAGATCATAAATGCATCATAATTCAAATCTAAATGAATCAAATGGTTTGATCCAAGTCTTGTGAAGAGACACAATCTCTTTATATGATGAACAGCTTTAATTTAGTCTTATTTACATCTAAGCAATGATCGACATGCATACATACAGTGAATCACATACAGTAAACATGGAAGCTCAAACAGATCTTTAAAGTTTTATGGATTTGGAACAACATGAGGGTGAGAAACTGATGTCAGAATTTTCATTTTTGGGTGAACTGTTCCTTTAAGCAAGTTCTAAAGTGTGAAACACACACTTCCAGAGCAAACCACCACTCATTTCCAAGATTTTGCTCATCCACAAACCACTTTCATTAAAAATGACCTAATAAATACAAATGATCAACTTCAAATACGAGATGTACTAAACTACTAAAATGTAATAATAGAATTAAATCAAGCTATGAACAAAATGTCAGAAGAGAAAATGTCAGTAATGAGTGATATACTTTTTAAATAATTAAAAGTAAAATTGCAAATTCGTTATTGTATTGTCTGTCCAAACATTCTAGCAGCTGGGGATAATTGTGTGATATGATTAACTATACTGGCTAAAAGACTTCTTTTCATATGCAGACCGTTTCTGCGGTGGAGAGCGTGCCTTATAGACAAATGAATCTGAAGCAAAAGGAGGCGGAGAACTGTAGTACAACTGTTCAGAAGTTACCCGCCAGGCGCTATTCATTTTCAAAAAGAGAAGTGGATGGAATGAATAGCAGTCACAATACTGTGAAAATACCTCAGTTGAGTGAGAGAATTTGAGTGCATGTCTCGATGTATGCAGATCTGAGAACACTCTCTCCATAAGCAACTGCCAATATTGTCCAGGTATATTAAATATTTGATAACACTTTAGAAGAGGGAACACGTATGAAGAGGGTCACATATTAAGGAACTCTTAATTTGCTGTTTATTAATAGCTAGTAACGTAGTGGCCAATATGCTAGTAATAAGCATGCTAAAAAGCAACTACTTAATAGTGAGATCTGGTCCTTAAAATAAAGAGTTATCAAATATTTTCATGTTATGGCCAATATTAAAATGCATGCTATTTAAACTAGTTTGTATAAAACGATATAAAACATTAAATCACTAAAAACTAAAATTAACCATTTAAATACTATTTGTGAATTTAGGCATCACAAGTTTATAATGTATACTATGAAAATGTTTTATTATTTGCTAAAGATTTCATTAAACAGTGTGACTATGTTTTTAAAGATTGACTTGAATTGAGCATTAGACATCAAACAATCTAAAAAAACAGTAGATGTGCATTA